GGGAGGCGAGAGGCTTTTGCCCATACCTGAACATATCTGTATATAATTGTATATATTTTCTTGTATCATTCATTAGTGTTTTAATTAAGGCTGTGTAGTTTAGTTTTAAATCCAGCCAAGTCTCTCTCTTTTTCTCTCTCTCCTTCCCTACCTGGGTTGGGGGGAGGGGGGATCGAGAGCATTGTTGTCGGACCTAAGTCAAACTGTGACAACAGATGACAGTGACTTATAGATATTGGCTCCTCAGTGACTTACGAGTCAATGGTTTTGAATTTCATTCTTGCTGAATCGATCGCATGTATCACACAGTGATGCTCTACATTGCAAGTGGTAGTCACAGCAAAAGAGACAAAAAAACCTGAATTGTCCTCTAAGGTGAGTTTCTTTCTCTCACGCAAGTGAGGTCTGCTCATGGCAAGGTTGACCTGTATTGCACACAGTAATTAATAGAACACATGAGCAGGGGAATCTGGATATTAGGTACCCTTTTCAAAGGAGAGAAAAATCTTCATATTTATTTGAATGCTCTTTAGTTTATTTCTGCACTAAATGAGCTTGGTTAGAGGAGTTACCTGCTTCTACTTCGTAGTACTTTTATTGTAATGTTAAAATGCTTTCTGTAACTTGAAAGTGAAGGTTGCTCTGAACTGAGCAAGTATATTGTTGCAGAATGAGGTGCTTAAGTTTAGTATAGAAGTGAAGCGTTTCTGTCAGCTGTGCTTCAAGCTAGTGGTTCTATAATTTTGAAAATTTGGCTTGCAAATTTTCTCCAGGACTTGAACAAATCTACGCTTGACTAAGGTATGATTGATTCCGATCTGAATTGTTTCCAATTTCTAGTTCCAGATGTTATGCAACTCTGAAAGACCCACATCTTGAGAAAGCTAGAAAAAGACATTTTACTTCTATCCCTACCAAACATACAATACATACCCTTGAAAATGTAATATATCACCAAAATGCAGAAAACAATTCAGAAATAGCAGCTGCTGGTAAATATTTGTTGGAAAAAAACTGTAGTCAAGTCAGATGTGGAAGACTCAAATGTAGGTTCCACAATCTGTTATAGTTTTCTTTCTAATAGTTTAATATCTTCTGAAATAAAATAATCTTGTTAAAGGGAACTTCCCACATGATACTGGGTTTTAGAGGATGTGTAGTTGAGGTTAAGTAGGTAAGTTTCTAGCACCAAGTTGTGGGCAGGACTTCTGCTTTTTGCATAAGTCTCATGACTGTATTACAGTCAAATATTAAAGATTTTGTTTTTGTGAGAGCTTGTAAGGAAGAAGTGCAAAAAGAAGATGAAGCGAAAAGGATTAAGATAATGAGATCTGTAATACTGTGCTTGTATTTATATCATTGATAATACTTATGTCACTTCCTCTAATATAGCAGATAAATATAGTAATTTGCTTCAAGCTTTTTAAATAAGTTATCGCTGAAGATGATCCCGCTTTAGCCATCCACATTGATAAAACTAGATGTCCTGGTTTGAGCCAGGATTAAGCCAATTTTATTTTTACTGATTTTCTTATTTTTGAGGTTATTATGAGCTCTCTTTTAACTAGCAGCAAGTTTTCCAGCTAGTGGACTGATAAAGCTGGAATGTTTATGTTACTGTCGAGATTCCAGAACACTTTGTTTTTCGGCCTCAGATGCTGAAGGAGCGGAAGAGTCATATCTGCAGCTCTCCCCAGAGAAGAGTGGACAAGACAGACAGCAACATTAACCAAAGTATTCCACACCATATATCTATGTAAGCTTGGTATAAGGTCAGGGATCATGGAAGTCAAGCCCCTTCCTGCTTCTTCTTCCATTCTCTTCCATCCACGGCCAGTGTCCATGGAGGACTCCATCTATCCATCACCACTGATCCTAAGGCTCATGCATTCCTGACCCTCATCACTCTTCCCTCAGCTCCTGTCTGCTCTGCCGCTCTCTCCAGCAGCTCTGGGACATTTTGGAACTACTCCCAGCTCAGGAGATGACGTGGGAGTTGCTGGGGGCAGGGGGAGGCAATAGGGTTTTGCACATTCCTGCACATACTTGTATATAATTTTTTTTTTCTTTAGTATTTAATTAAAGCTGCCTAGCTTAGTTTTCAATCCAGAAAGTCTCTCTTTCCTTTCCCTGCCTGGTGGGGAGGATGTGGGGATCGAGAGCATTATTGTAGCTGGTTCAATTACCAATCCAGAGTGGAATCATGACATCAAATTCATTTCTTATGGCTCCTTCTGTCTCCCTACAGTGTTTGCCCTGCAAGTTATCTGGAGCTTTTATCCTGCTGA